ATAATAGGGGACACGGTCTAACGATCAATTTTCCATTAAAGAGATTTCATTCCAAGAGCAATAAGTCGGTGGAACCGACGCCTATTAATTTTGCTGTAACTCCACTTATCTTACATTAGGAGCCTATTTCATAACAGGGGACATTCCTCTAACAATACTCATGAAGGAATTTTTGATGAAAGAGGCACAACTACATTGTCACGCTGGGTCACTTCCGGAATATTTTCTCGCCACAACCACGTAAGACTCGGCCACGCAAGGCGATCGATTCCCGAGACATCCCGTCCCAGAGTGTGCCGACCATATGCCGGCTCCTCTGCCAACGGCGCAACCTTAGCGCGTACGTTCGTGCTCATAGTGCGCATTAATTAGCGAGAGAGGCAATTACACACAGCCGGACGCGAGGTTACGCAGGCACGCGGGTGCCATCGTGGCTAATTACTGGCCGGCGAGACGCGTGCCTGTCTTTGATTCGCATGAGAGGGCACTCGGCTTGCCGAACACGAGGCCGAATCGATTTCGGCAATACACGGGGAGAATCTCTTCTCTTAAAATTTACCCTCAAAATCATGTAATCGTGGGACAGCATTTCGAATGAGTTTTTTTTTATTTTACGATACATTCTACTATTAAAATGTATACAAAGTATAATTATAAGTAAAATGCATGGTAAAATTTCAAACAAACTCATGAAATTCTCCGAAATGCTATCTTGTTCCACGATTACATGCTTTTCCGGATAAATTTTGAGAAAAAATTCTTTCCGTGCACGGCCTCAGAAAACGAGCGATTTATTCGCAATTCTACATTAGGCTATTTAATAAAATTACACGTTGTGCTGTCATGTGACAATTTTATAATATTTTTATAAGACGTGTTATCTCATTATTATTATTGTTGTAATAATATTACGGCGCATTCTTTCGATTATTAAAAATTTTACTGTAACCGGCATCACCAAAAAATTATGTAACGTTCCCAAACAATGATTAAGAAATTCCGACGAAACGGTTCGACCGTCTGTGAATCATTCGTTACGCTTGTAAAATGGTATTCAAACGACTAAAGGGATGTCTCGTCTCCTCTCTGCTGAATAAATCACATTTCTGAAATGCCTTCTCGATTAATCAAATTTTTCATTTATCATTACCTATGTACCTATGTACCTTTAAAACTTGATTATTTGTATCGTACGCCTCGTCACGTTGTTACAAGGGGGGAAACCGCCGAGGGCATTGTGTACAAACTTGCGGCATTACTGGGCATTACTAGGCATTTTTTGGCATTAGTTGGGGCATTATAAAGATAAAATAAGGTAAAATAAGATAATAAGATAAAGTAATGCTCACTGGGCATTAGTGGGCATTGGTGTACGAGATTTTGGTCAGCGGTTTCCCCGTCGCGTTGTTATTATAAAATGCAATTCTCTTTATCTTCTTTGGTAAAAAGAAAAAAGCTTTATTCTTTAGACGGAATTTTTTGGGGAACAAATTTCTCAGTGTGGGAACCTCTCTTGTTAAATACACGAGCCTTCCTTGACAATATACTTGCGCGCGAGGCGCGCAGCGTAAGGCCCATATCCCAGAGGCACATACACAGACAATTATCTTCCCGGTTCTCTCGTCCGGTTCCGGGGGGCAGGAAGGGAACGAGGGGGGGAAAAGGAGGGAGACCGCGCGGGCGTGGTGGAGGCGAGAATCCCGATCTCGGCGAAGCCGAGAGTCGTTTTGCTCCATGGGCTCGTGCGCCGCGGCCTTCTCTGAGAGCCTCAAGGACGGCGAAACGCATCGCCGGCTGCCCCGGCCCCGAATGCCGGCCGAGGGGGAGAATCCGGCAAGGCCGACCGGCAGCGTATTCTATTTCTTCGTCGCTCGGATTTTTTTTTTTCGATCGCGTCTGTGCGGACGAAAATAATTGCGTCGGACACGGCGTGCGTCACGTGCGCGCTCCCCGGCTGAGAGTTCGGTGGGAAATTGTTAAATAAAAGGGGCGATTATTAATGGAATATGTATTAAATATTGCGCAATATATTGCGAGAAAATCGAACCCGCTCTCAAACAATCCTAGAAGCCACTTAGAAGACTGCCTTAGAATCTTGATAGACTCCTAATATAAGACAGCGGGTTTTCAGCATCCTATTTCGCTATATCTCTTTCGCAACGATTATAACACACACGATTTAACAACGAATATTCCACTAAACAGATCTCACTTCAAGGGCAATAAATTCATGGTGGAACCAACAGATGATGAACTTGTGTTAGTGGAAACCCCGCTATCTCGTATTAGGAGCCTATCTTATAATAGAGGACCCTCTACATTTCTCATATTTACTTTAATAATTCCGGATTCCGGGTGCGCGGTCTTTAAGATTGGAGAAGCGCGCGCCACGCTGCGTATTCCGGGGTGGAATTCGCATGATGGCAGGGAATATACCGCCCCGCTGTAATGCACATTCGGATCTAATTGCGTCAGCAAATGAACGCGTCAATGATTTCGCGAATCTGTTCATTATGCGTCGCGCATTCAAACTTGTCCGCCGCCGTCGCGCGTTAATCACGGCCGCTTATTAAACTCTTATCGGCATTTGTCGTCGTCGGTCGGCGCTATTTCAGCACAGCATCCCCGTTTTTATTGCTCGTGCGCCGCGCGAATTCCCGGCGCGTCCAGACGCCCTCGATCATCGCGCGGCTCTATCCCTTTCCTTCTTCGCCTCTTTTCTCTCAGCCTCCTTCTCCTCATATATGTTAGATCCTCCTGTTTCGTTCTTTTGCTTTCCGTTCGCGCACAATTTGTTTCGCGCACTGGAGACGTTCGATGTTTGACCGGTTAATAAATATGTTCGAGGTTTCCCCCCTTCCTTTTAAAATTATATTATGCCTCTCTCCGCACCCACACTCTCTAAATCTGAATCAGTGGATAGTCGCTGATTGGCAGTGACTATCCCAATGATTTATCAGCCATGCCACTGATAATCAGCTAAATTCAGCTGGTAAATCAGTGAACTTCGGATGCCGAATGAATCAGCGAAGATATGCTGATTTAATCAGTTAAACGTTTACTTATTGATTAGTGAGTGTACACACAGAGAATTTTCTCTTAAAATTTATCCTTAAAATTATGTAATCGTAGAACATGGCATTTTAAAGATTTTTACGAGCTTTCACTGATTTATTGGATTTTATTTGATTTATTTATTTTTTTGGCCGTGTTTCACTGATTCATTACCGATGCAAGACGTCACTAATTCAGTGACTTTTCCACTGATTCAGATTTAGAGAGCAGACAAAATTTCCGAATCCAATGCTATTACATTTCAATGTATCATAAAATAGGATCAATGTAGCATCATATTTATTATAGAGAAAGGAATATTTTAATCTGAAATGAAAAATTCTAAATTCTAGAATAAAATGATAGTATGTATCGTCTTTTGTCGAATATCGTGGTGTCAATATGGAGGGAAAATTTATTCTAAACGCAAGAATACATAAACTTACATTTATATAAGTTATTCTTGTCTCAATATAGTAAGTCAATCTTTTTTAATTCGATAGAGGGGAATAAGAATTATTGATTTAATTTTGATATTGTCTTATTTTTATACTGAATGAGGTTGTGAGAAACATAAATGCGTCAAGAATATTTTTCGTCTCGGTAACAGAAATCCTTTCTGAGGGTGCGTAGAGAATGTTGTCTATTAATAGACACATTAATATTGTTTATCAATTTTATATCTTGATTTTTGCTAAAGTAGCCCTGCGTGATTCATTCGATATCTCTTGCGAAGGGTGCATCTGCCAACATATGCTGTGGCAAACAAAAATAGACTGTGTGAAGTGTGCGAAAGAGATTATTCGGTCGCCGCGTCGAATCTCTTATTTCTATCTTTCGCACGCCTCACCTTGCTTCTATTTTTTTTTCCACTGAGATCAAGTGCGACGCGACCGTGAGCGCCGATTTGGCCCACAAAGATGCAACGCGACGAGTGATGCGCCGCACGCGAATGCGAGGCAGGTGTGCGATTCAAACATCGCAGTCGAGATAAAGGGTTAAATATATATATATCGTCGGCACTCTCTCACTGTCACGTCAAGTAAATAAACGAACGGCGGCACTTTCGGGCGAACGTCGCTTTAGGACCGCATTTTAGCGCCGGCACGCGATAAAATTACGACCAGTAATCATCTCACGAGCACGACTTTTTCCTGTATCTTTATTCCCTCTATTAGCAAAGCTGATAGGGCGATTCAGAGCACGTGTGGGGAGAGGCTTGAGGCTAACCGGATGTCCGGATTCACGAATCCATGACGGATTTGGGTGAAAGACACAGCCCAGATTTATCACTCCCGCGGAGCGTATATCGTATAAAATTCAAAGGTGTATACATTTGGCATCCAAAGAATCATTTTTCTCTCGTGCCCTACGAGAGCAATCGCGTTTGAAAAATGGCACTGCTGACTAATGGAAATTTCATTAGAAAGAAATTGTTATGTAATTTAACTTGGATTAATTTGCTATGTAATTTAAATATAAAGCCACCGATTAAAATCTCTTGGCGATTTAAATACGTTACTGATGTTGATTCTACGGATATTTGTACTGAATTTTATCAACGAGTGTCTTTAGTTGAATATTTTAAAATTTTGTTGCAATCGTTCTTTAAAACGCATCAACAAAAACTATGGTTTCGCGTACTAAATCAACGAAAAAGTGAAACGTCTCCCACACTTACAATTACATGATATTCCCAGAATATTCATACAAATTAAAATAAATGTTAGATATTTTAAAGTGTGTTTTTTGTTATCGGAGAGATCATTGAATACATTTAACATTTGTGTCGCTCGCACGGTGTACCATTCGCCACGCTTATAAACGCTTATTTAAATGCAGAACCGACCGCATTAACAGTCGGGACGCGCAAAATTTCGTGGACTTCAGGAAATTATCAGCTTGCATATTTCACTGTATTATCACCGCTATTTTTCCTCTTTCAGACCTTGGACTTCGACAGGGATGGTCTCACGAAGCTAAAAAAGGCCATCAAGGCCATCCACAACTCCGGAAACGGTGAGTCGCGCGTCATCGTAAATTTTCGTTATAATCGACGTCTTGGTTTTACGATTGCGCGAACAGCAATTAGTTATCTTTTAGAAGACGGCATTGACGCAGAACGTATAACGAACTATCGTTGGTAACAAATAAAAATGAAATAAGTATAATAAAATTAATATCTCTTACGCGATGCGCATAACTCGACTTCAATTTTAAGGACAGTCTTTAATGGAAAAAATTCTAGAAAAAACTCTAAAAATTCGACTCAGTCTAGTTCGCTCTATCCGTAAATAAGAGGTGAGACGGGTATTACAAAACACTCTGTATATTTTATTTGTTTTATGAAAATAGTTGCGTTTAAATGTCCCATAAGAGACCTCCGAGTATACGCATCGTTAGCTTCGATTGCTCCGATGACTCCGAGGGCGAAACCCTGCTGTATAGATCGCGACCGTTTAAATTATCACCCCAGCACGCTGGACTCGTGCGTATTGAATAGCGTGATTAATACTGATAATAGCGATCGAATGTTATATTAAACATGTCAGCAACGGCTACTACAACCTTTATGCGATAACTATCAATAGTTGACATATCCCCTTTATCTTTCTATGCATGCACGATATTACTAACAGTATTTAATATCTGATCGAGAGAGATATGATTTCGGTAAACAAAACCTGAGTACTCTAACAAACGAAAGACCCTACATATCTCCAAACTTTTCTATACGTTATTTAACCTTTAGAAGCTTATCTTTCGGCCCCAAAGGAGTCGCCTATTTTTCGTAGTATAACACTATAGGATCGGTCTACAATAGACGAAGTAGCCTGGCGTAAGAGGTAAGAGTAGGAGTAAAGAAATAAGTGTTGGTCTACAGTCTTGTTTTAAGTAAGCTGTAAGCTTTAAGCCGTCAGAAATTAACCGATCACAGGCATTTATTCTCCTCACTCTCACCTCTGATTGGTTAATCTCTTACGGCTTAAGACTTACAGCTTACTTAAAGCAAGGTTGTGGACCAACGCTAAAGCATTTCCATTTCTTACTCCTACCTCAGCTCTGACACTCTCGGCGAATTAGAGCGTAGTTCGACGCAGTGCTGCAAATATTTTAAAAAATTATGCCTGTACTTTAGCTGTTACACCGAGGGGTTGGTTATAGTGGCGGTTATAGTGTAACAAAAATTACCCTTGATGCGGATTACCCTTAAATTACCTCAAATTACGCAAGATTACCTAATACTACCTAAAATTACTCCAATATTATCTCATATTACTCGAGATTACCTTAGAATATTAAAAATTGCTCCAAATATATTGGATTACTCAAGATTTCGTTTGAATTGCCGCAGAATTAGCCCTTGTACAAAGATTACCTCAGTGACCGACCCCTTGTTTTACACTGAAAGATAAAGGCTCATATGGCCTTCTTACTTCTTACCGCTTACTTCCAATGTAGACGGTCCTTATAACACGTATATGAAACTCGAAAATATGAAAAAATCGTGAAAGACCTGCCGTCCTCTAAAGCTTACAAATCTCCACATTTGATTTAGTCGAACGTACATCATAGTTCGCAAAAGTTAGACTATAAGTCGATAAAAAAACATCAGGCAGAGAGGCAGGAGACACGCGGAGAGAACTTTGGACTTATGAAACATACGGCGGAGCGCATACCCGCGGCAAGTCCCAAGACAACGGGACGTTCACTTGTCGCGTACGTTTTTCCGGGTCAGCCTGCAGCGAACGTAAAATGCTACGTGCTCTAATTTTACGGGCGTCGGTCCGGATTTTTATTGCCCCACGTACGGGCGAGTCGCGCCGGGTTCAACATCCCGAAGAGTCTGCATAGACACGGACTGAGAAACCCTGAGGTCCGCGCGCGCGGCGCTGACTTTTACGGGTCGGGCTCGCCGCCGGCTTTCCGCCGCTTCTCCATCGGGCAGACAGATCGATTTCTCCGGCGCCCCCTTTGTTTCCTCGACCAGGCCATCCCGCGAGAGTTCTGGCCGGGGGGTTCATACACGCGAGTGTGTCTCGCGTTCTGGAGTCTGCGATCGGCATCTTTACGGCCGCCGTTATATATTGTTCGCGCACCCCGCGAACGAGCGGGCGATCAATAACGCGTCGTTGTCAGCGCCGATATATCGCGCCATTCGCGTAGAAACGTAAGGAACATAGTTATCAGACCGCCTCGTTTTCATTCATATGCGCGATGCACGCGCTGAACGTACGAAATATCGTCGTACAGTCGCTTTGGAATATTTATACTTGGCGTAAACGTCGGCGCTCTCGCCGTTAAAAATCGCGTCGCTTCTTCCGCGTAAACTTTTTTAACGCATCTCCGCTTGTCGGGGCACATAAATGTTGCAGCGCGTGAAACCGTTTTATAAACTCGCGTGCGCGAAACGCGCGCCGGAGTTACGTGACTTTATCGCCGGACTCGGTACGCTATCATTTATCGTGCATGCGTTAGCTTCCTCCGCGCGTGTGTCCAGTACGTGTATTTATTTATAAGTTTCGTAGTTACGAAAGGGTTACCCGTAGGTTGTATAATCTCGCGTCATCCTCAGCCTAGGCTCTCGCTACGAGAATAGCGTGTGAGCGGCACGCGTGTCGCACACACGCATTGTGAATAATATATTATATTGCGTAACGTCACATCGTGCGAGCAATGATTAAAAATACCCGAGTCGACATTTTCGCTCTACGTTGAACCTTTAATTCTTATATAGTAGGACCTAAAACAGTAAAAGAGGTTCAACTGCAAGTACAAAATTTACTCCTTTAAAACTGATAGTGTCGGAAATTTCTACTTTTGCATTAAAGTAGGTCCTTTTAAGTAGGAGCTAAAGTAAATTTTTAGAATTAAACATTCAAGGTAGAAGTAAAAAAATATAATGTCATCAAAGTAGGTTATTGCTGGTCTATGTAGGTGTATAGATCAGCTGAGTAGGTGTAAATTATCCCTAAAGTGTCAAAATAGTACCAAAACTTCGACTCGGGATTGCTTAATAATTTCCAACTTATAGTGACTTAACCCGAGTCGAAGTCTTGGCCCTATGTTGAACCTCTAATTCTATTATATAGTAGGACCTAAGACAGTAAAAGAGGTTGAACTGCAAGTACAAAATTTACTCCTGCTTTAAAACTGATAATGTCGGAAATGTCTACTTTGGCCAATTTAGCATTAAAGTTGGTCCTTTTAAGTAGGAGCTAAAGTAAATGTTTAGAATTAAAGATTCAAGGGAGGAGTAAAAAATATAATGTCATCAAAGTAAACCTACTTTGATGACATTATATTTTTTACTCCTCCCTTGAATCTTTAATTCTAAAGATTATTGCTGGTCTATGTAGGTGTATAGATCAGCTAAGTAGGTGTGAATTATCCTTAAAGTGTCATAAAGCATCAAAATTTCGACTCGGGTATGCCGCACTTTGTACAGGATTGACGTTGATAGACTTTATTCTAAGAGATGTACCACACTAGGTGTCATGTCACACAATGACATTCGTCAACTCTCAGCTGATCGACGGTTGTCCTGCTACAATTTGCGCTCGTCTCCCCTCCACGAATAATACTCGATGTTGTCACGTCAACGTCAATTCCGAATATAATATACATAGCATCACATTCGTCGCTATTTCCTTCCAACTACATTTCGGCAACGCTTATGTCTCAACGTTGCTTCCACGAACAAAGTCGTCGCGTTCAGGGTCAGGTGACCAAATTCGGATCGCAAATTTGATGAGTCGCTGGTAAGCGACATAAAAACGCGTCGATACTTTTATTAATGATATCGACAATATCGCGTAAAGTTGTAAATGTATAAAATCTCATAATAGGGGACTTTCCTCCATTGTCAATGAAGCCGCGGCGAGGGTGCGGCTCGCATTGAGAGAAAATGGTGAGATAACAGCGAGCAAAACGGCAGCGCGTGCCGGCCCGCGCGTTCTCGCGTTCACCGCGAGACTAATGAGAGATTAAAGCGGCGTTTCCTTTCCACGTCGGGTCGATAACGCTCGCATTATTCCGCGAAAGTTGCGTGCTCGTGGCCGCTCCTTCGCTTTCCGCGCGGCAAAGCGTCTTCCGTTGCATCTGGTTTCTGCTCTCGTGCGGACTCTCGAATCCCCCTTGCTCGAGATCGCTTCGAAAAGCTGTACCGCGAATTTACGTTGTACTTCTGCGGACCATCTCGTGCGGCGGCGACTGTCCGTAGATTGCGGGCGAAGCGCTCATTCAAGAGCCGCCCCGTTCGCAAATATTATCTCGGCGCGAGGCAAGCCTGCGCAAACATGCCGGAGATGTTGTTCTTTCTGAATTGGACTTTGAGTTACGGATCTTTCGTGACGCAACGAAAGCAGGTAGTCGCGCGAAATTGCTTCCTCGGGTCGCGAAACGTCGCCGAGGACCGTACAACCACGTGGTAGGCTACTGCCGTAATTGTCGGCAGCCGTGGACGGTCTGTAATTATATCGCGTAATGAGAAGACGCCTCGTGGGAGCCTAGCATTATAAAACTGTCTTTTGATGAGAGAACTTTTATCTCTGTCGTACCCTCTAATTACAAGTGAGCTGTGGCGCGACACGCATGTATAATGTTTCATCAAAATATTGTAGACAATAAACGATGTCGTGTCCGTTTATCTGACTGATCGTTATTTAAGCGTTTATCGTTGATTTAAGATTAACATCTATATATTTCACAAAATGTTATCCCAATTTCTTTGTCATTAGACTGCAAATATTAAATTTACTATATTGTTTATACAAGCGTTAGTGGCTTCGACAAATAAACGTAGTGCAAGTATGTTATTACAATACGATATTGCTAACCGAGAACAATGATATCCATATGAAGAGTTTAATTCAAGTATTTAATTTATATTTGATAATTCTTACAGCCTTGTTTTACAAGTGCCCTGTAAGTTATCGGAGCCGAATGAGAACCGATTCTAATTAATATCTTTACTTGTTGCTAAAAAGTTGCAGAGAAAATCTTTGCCCCTTCGTGAA